GTCAGGGTTCCATTCTTGGCCCACTGCTATTTTCTATTTACATGCTGCCTCTGGGTCAAATTATTTGCAAATATAATGTCTCTTTTCATTTTTATGCAGATGATACCCAGATATATTTATCTATTGATCCTTCTGATCTATCGGCTCTAAACATCCTAAATTCTTGTCTCACCGATATTAAGGTCTGGATGTCCGATAATTATTTATTGTTAAACAATAATAAAACTGAGGTGTTGGTTTTGGGCCTTAAGACTCATAGAGACCCTATAATTAAAGTTCTTAATTATTCAGGTTTTAATTGTTCTCATGAGGCTGGAAACCTTGGGGTAGTTCTGGATTCGGATCTGGGTTTTACTAAACATTTTAATAATAGTATTAAAACTGGCTTCTATCGCATCAGAAATATTGCCAAATTAAGATCAGTTATCTCAKTTGCAGATACTAAATCACTCATTCATGCTTTTATTTTTTCTCATCTTGATTACTGCAATTCTCTGTTTATTGGTCTGCCTAAAAAAAAMCTCAAACGCCTGCGATTAGTACAAAATACAGCAACTAGAGTCCTCAATTAATCCCAGAAGTATGATYATATCACTCCTGTTCTGGCTTCTCTACACTGGTTACCTGTGGTTCTCAGGATTGATTTTAAGATTGCAGTGATAGTTTTTAAATCACTGAATGGACTTGCACCGGCTTATATTTCAGAATTACTTACACCATTTACACCACTGCGACCTCTGAGATCATCTGATCTGTCGCTACTTATAGTACCCAGAGTAAGACTACAGACAGAGGGTTATAGAGCCTTTTCTGTTAGGGCTCCTCTTTTATGGAATGCACTGCCACTTTATATCAGACAAGCTTCTTCATTGTCCTCTTTTAAATCTCTTTTTTAAAAACATATTATTATGAGTTGGCTTTTAATTGTTGACCTTTGCATGTTTTATTTTTTTTATTTTGTGCTATATTTCTTATGTGTTTTGTTTCTATTATATGATGTAAAGCACTTTGTAACTGAGTTTTGAAAGGTGCTAAGCAAATAAATCTATCTATCTATCTATCTATCTATCTATCTATCTATCTATCT